TTCTTGGGCCCCGTCTTGGGGCTGTCTCGGGCCCCTCTTGGGCCCTCTAGGAGCCATCTTGAGGCCTCGAAGGCCATCGGAAGCGAAAAGGCGAGAAAGCCAAACACATTGATTTGCCTAAGGTGTTGGCAGGATGTTGGCCTCTTCGAGGTCTCCTGGGGGAGCTCGTTGGCCACTTGGAGCCGCCTTGGAGCGGTCCAGGGGCCTCTTGGAGCATCGTGGAAGCCATCTTGAGGCATCTCGGATATCTTGAGCCATCTTAGGCCATCTTGGACGCTGCAACCCCTCGCGGGGCCTCCCGTCCAGGTCCATGTGAGGGGGTAGGGGGAGGGGTCAAGACACCCCCATAGATAGCAAGTCGTCTACCTCACTCCCACCCGCCCTCCCAACACATAAGTAAGACCCGAGCCTGAGCATGTTCAGCGGTCGTCTTTGGATGGGCAGCTACTGGGAACCAAAACCAACCCCATGTGCGCGACGCTGGAGCGAGGTGCACCACGCGTGCCAGGCGCGCCACGCGCGTCAGGCACCCCTGGGGCCCGAGCGTGCCAGGCACGCCTGGTGCGCCAGATGTGCCACGTGCTCCGCGTTCGTCAGGTGTGCCGCATACTCCAGCCATGCCAGGTGCGCCACGTTCGGGGCACGTGCAGAGTGTGTCAGGTGCGCCTGCGCACGTGACAGCACACATCGGCAAACATGTCGGCCCCCACCATCCTTGTCGAAAACCAATGCCCATCATGGTGTCTGGTGGACCTGCGCACGGCAGGCCATACGCCGCTGCCCCCGCCGTCCCTATCAAAAGCCACTTGACAGTGATCGCGGGGTGGCCGCGCACTATCCAGATCTAGCCGCTGCATTTTGTATTATTCATTGTTAGACAGCAGGCAATCTGCTGACACCCCCACCATCCCTGTCAGAACAATACAAAGTGCTCGCGGGCCTCACGAACATGACTGAAGATTTGGCCCCAAAGTGCACTTTGTATTGTTTTTTGGCAGGGTTGGCGGGAGAGGGCCGCATCGGGTTGGCCGCGCATGCTCCAAATGTGGAGGTCGATTGCGTTTTGTATTGCTTTTTGATAAGGAATGGTGTGGGGGGGGATGATCATTCTTCCTGTTTGGCCGCCGGTCGCCTGGGGGAGGGGGTGTACATTTATAGGGAACATGCAGTGATGAGCCCATCCTCGAAGGGGAAGACAGGCAGATGGAAGACACAACACCCTAGACCACCTACGCCCTAAAGGGCTGGTGGGATCTCTCATGGTTCGTGCCCTCCCTATTCACCAGTCTCGCCACGCCCAGCCTCGCCAGTGACAACTGGCCCTCCAGGGAGGCCCCGCCAGACCGTGGCAGGCATCCGGATACCGTGTTATGTATCATGTTTCGTGCCGTCCCCACCCCATCAGCCTCGTTACTGCCACCTGGCCCTCCAAGGAGGCCTCGCCAGACCGCAACGGCAGGCATCCAGATACCGTGTTCTTTTCCAGGTTCCGTGTCCTCCCCACTCCAACAGGCTAGCCGTCGGCCCCCGGCCCCCCAGCGAGGCCCCGCCACACCGCAGCAGGCATCTGGACACCGTGTGATTCCCCAAATGGTGCTTGCACTCAGGGGTTCTTGCCTGGGCCTGTCCAGGCTTGCACTCCTGTGAGGAGCTGGGCCCCTCTGCGGGCCCCGCGGCCCCGTTCCCGTTCGTCGCCGCCCCTCTTCTCCGAACAGGAGGCCCGTCTGCGGGCCCAGCGGCCCCGGTCCCGCCCGTCACCGCCGCCGCCCCGCTGCACCCCCCTCCCCGTCGCCTTGCAATCGCAGTGCGTGGCAATCGCACGGCATCGCACGGCGATCGCGTTGCTTCTGCCATCGGCGTGCGTCGCATCACAAACGCACTGCGTCGCGTTGCTCCGCATTGCCTCGCGCTGCCTTGCGTCGCCTTCCATAGCTTTGCATCCCGCTGCATCGCTTTGCTTTGTCCTGCGCTGCTTTGCATTATTTCGCATTGCTTTGCATTGCCGCGCATTGCTCTGCATTGCTGTCTGTTGTTTTGCATTGCTTTGCATTGCGTTGCATTGCGTTGCATCATTCGAGGTGTTGTTCATTGCTTTGCATTGCCTTGCTTTGCATTGTTCTTCACTGGTTTGCATTATTCTATACACTGGTGCCTCCCAGCGCCGGGAGGTGCCAGAGAAAACAGCTACGTGAGCGGGTAGCAAGTCTCTTGGCCCATCACTGGGACTGGATTTTCGTCACGAGTCGTTTCTTGACCTGTGCGTACGGCGTTCGAGGAGGGAGGGCGGAGGGAGCCAGGACGAGGGAGGAGGAGTTCGCGGGAATTGAGAAGGGAGGACTTAGGAGGGCGGATGGAGGAACGGCAGGAAGGGGGGAGAAAGAAGGAGACTGATGGCGGGGGGGGGGGGATGGGGGCGATGGAGGGTGGTTCTGTAGACTGCGAAAATTGTGTTGTCACGTTTGTACTAGCTCAGCTTACGGCGCGCTCGATCTTCATCCGTAGCCATTTGGGTTCCATTTCGATACCATTTTACTCCGCTCGCGTTTCCCGCCAACGCAGACCAACCACGCAATTGTAGGGGTAGTTGAGGGGCCACGTGATGAATCTACCACTGCTTGCGTTTGGTATGTTCTTCCCACGCTGCGCTGGTCTTCGCGTCAACGGGAGTGAGGATGGCAGCGTAGTTCCTGCGCCTGAGTGGTTCACCTTGTATGATACATGCGCATCGTTGCAAGAGATCTGGCGCGACGGTAAACACCAGTATGGGGGGCACTGGCATAAAAGGACACTCGGGGAAGTGGCCAAAGGTGAGGACGAGTGCCAATCTAGCAGGGTTGCCGAAGATGTTTGGGAATCTGCACTTTCCCACATTGGTGGAAAGAAAAACTTCCTCCTCGCATCAGCAGATGAGCAGGTCATGTCTTGGATGCAGGGGGAACAATTTCAGTCGTTGTATTTCATTGGTGATTCACTTGGCTTTCAACAGTTCAGGTCTTCGAGGTGCATATTGGAAGCTGCCGGCTGGTCCAGGATGCGAGTGACTGGATTCGTTGCCCAACATGAAAAAACAACATTGGAAGAATTGTGGTCCCGTGGGGGTCGCTCGATTCTTGTAAGCATGAGTTGGAGAGCTTGGTTACGTGAAGTTCCCGATTTACTCGATGCCAGCCTGCGCAACGCCAGCTTAAACGGCCGCGTCCATCCTTCGAAGGAGATTGTTGTAGTGGCACTTCATGCTCACTACAACGAGCCCAGCATGTGGCTCAATGAGCTAAAAGAGTTCAAAGCGTGGGTGCAGATCAAGAATGCAAACATTATTTTGCGGGGGCCATTACCTCAACATTTTAGTAAACCAGATGGTACATATCGAGGTGGGTGCACCCCCAATTCGGAATCGTCGGATTGGCGACGTTCAGCATTCCAAGACGTGATTGGCACATCGATGCCAGTGTTGCACGTGTTTGACTTTATCCATCCGATGCATTTCGCGCATGCCCGCAATCATGGAGATTGCACCCATTACTGTTTGCCCGTGCACCATGTGATAAATGCAGCGCTGGCAGCGCTGTTGAGCGGTTGGCACCAATGATTGGAGGGTGGATAGGAGTTCGCTTTAATTTTGAAGTTTCAGGGATGCAATCTTGGCAGTTCCTCTCCCTCCTCCTCGTTCGCCCCCTGTCCATCCTCCGCCTCTCCCTCCTCCTCCTCCCCTTCGGTCGAGCCTGCAGGGTGCCTTGCTTCTACGACAGATGTGCCGTGCCGTGCCTGGAGGCGAGGATGCGAAAGATGTGCCGTGGCGTGCCGTGCCAAGGTGCGGTAGATCGCACGAAACGCGCGTCGTGCAGTGGCTTGCTGCGCACACGTTCCAGAATGCGAGACGGGTGCCATGTCTTGCCCGCGTGCCGTGCGGGGCCGTGTTTATAGCATCCAGGGCGTGAGAACCGCGCCGTGCCGCGGGGCGTGCCGCGCGGCGTGCCCGAGTGTCGTCCCGTCCCGCGCCTTGGTTCCAGAGTGTGAGACACGTGCCGTGTCGTGCCCGCGTGCCGTGCCCGTGCCGTGCGCGCGTGGTCTTCAGAGTCCGGGGAATGTGCCGCCGTTCAAGCAGTGGCGAAGCGTCCTGGCTGGGACTGTTTGTTTTAACACATCGAGCGTATGTTTCAAGAACATGGTCTTTGTTCGTAGAACATTCTTGGTTTCTACGAACAGTTCGTGGTATGCCTTTAGAAATGCCGGGACGGTCGGTCCCTGCTCAAGCCGCGACGTTTCCGCGTGTTGTGCCTTGCCGCGCCTAGGTGCTTAAGTGCCAAACTTGCGGTGTGCCGTGCCCGTGCTCGTCCCGTGCCCGTGCCGTGCCGAGTCTTCAGGGTTCTGCGCATTTCGCGTGTCCCCACCAGCCCATCCAGAAATGGTCGCCAAGCGAGCTGCCCGAATCATGGAATCATAGAATCATGCCAGGGAGTAGCCGTCCTCGAAGCATGGCGGAGGCGCAGAAGCGGCAGAAACATATGCATAATGATTTAACGCATGCTCCCATGCCACGGCGGCTATATTGGGTCTTCTGGAGGGAGGCCCTCTTGAAGTTATCTTGGGACCTTCCCGGGGCAGGGTGATCGCTATCTTTGACACTAGTAGGAGGAGGAGGAGGAGGAGGAGGAGGAGGAGGAGGAGGAGGAGGAGGAGAGGGAGGAGGATCTCATGAAGCTTCTGGGGCCACTCCAGAATCCTCTGCTACCCCTGGATGCCGCCTTCGGGGTGACTCGGGACCTTCCTGGGCCGCCTGGACGGCCCCTCTCGGAAGCCACTATGGTCCCCCAATGGGTGCGGCTTGGGGCTTCTGGGGGCATCTTGGCATGGAGCCTGAGGCCTCAGCAGCCAATCGATGGCGAAAAGGCGAGATGGCCAACATTGTTGTCCCATGTTGTTTCTCGATGGTTTTGGGCTTGTCAGAGGGATCCTGGATAGTGTCGTGAGGCCCTCGGGGGCTGTCTTGAGCATCCTTTGAGGAATCTGGAGCCTCTCGAGATACGTCTGAGACCCCCAGAACCCGTCCTGCGGGTGAGTTGGGGCTGTCCTGGGCCGCCTGGACGTCTGTGTGACCCCTCTCGGAAACGATTCTGGGCCCCCCGTTGGGGGCGTCGTGGCCCTCCTTGGGGCCTCTTGGGCGCGCTTTGGGGCGGCTTGGGGCCTCCTGGGGGCGATCTGGAGGCCTCAGCAGCCCATCGGAGGCGAACAGGCGAGAAGGCCAATATCATAGACTTCCCATGTGTTTCGTTTCAGGTGTTCGGGCTTGTCGGAGGCGTCCTTGAGAGTCTCCTGAGGCCCTCTGGGGCTCTCCTAAGCGTCTCTTGAGGCGTCTGGAGCCTCTCGAGCCTTCTGACGCCCCTGGAGGCAGCCTTGGGGGGCACTCGGAGCCGTCCAGAGCCGCCTGAACGGCTGTATGACCCCTCTCGGAGGCGACTGCGAGCCCTCGAAGAGGCGGCCCGGCCCCCGGGCCCCATATATTGTGGTCCGGGTTCTGGCCTTGGGCCCCCTGGCCTGCCCCCCCCCGTGATATCTATACAGATGTGTACAATCGATTGTCTCAACATGCCCCTCACCCCTATTCGCACAGGTTCCCATTCATGAAGGTCATCACCCTTCCGATTACTACAATACCGATACGAGTCCAAACTCTGTTTGCACCTGTTCATCTTCCTCATCACAATCCTCCTAATCAGCATTCCTTCCTTCGTCATCTAAAGACGCAATCCTCCGTCATCCCCCCATCGTCCTCCTCATAACCTTCCGCATCATCCAAACTCCTCCTGCTTGTTCTCCTCATCAACGTCATCATCATCAGCAGCATCATAATCATCATCATGGCCATGATTGCCGTGAGCATCATCATCACCGTCATCATCATCAGCATCAGCATCAGCACCATCATCATCATCAGCAATATCAGCATCATCATCATCAGCATCAGCACCATCATCAGCATCAGCATCATCATCACCATCATCATCATCATCATCGTCACCATCCTCATCATCAGCATCTTCATCGTCGTCGTCACCACCACCACTAATCTTATCATACAGTAAGAACAATCGTCATCATCAGCACCACCATCGTCATTATCATCATCGTCACCGCCACCATCAACTTCATCATCACCATCAACATCAGCATCAGTATCATCAGCATCAGCATTAACATCATCAGCATCAGCATCAGCATGGTCACCATCACCGTCACCATCCTCATCATCAGCTTCATCATCATTATCGTCGTCGTCGTCACCACCTTCTACATGATCATAATAGGAACCGGCATCATCAGCACCATCATCATCGTTATCATCATCGTCACCAACCACCATCACCAGCATTATCAGCATCATCACCATCATCATCATCTGGGTCATCATCATCATTGTCATCATCAAGTTGCGCATCAGTATCACCGTCATCATTGTTATCGTCACCGTCATCATCATCAGCATAATCGTCAGCATCACACTCATCATCATCGTCGCCGTCACTGTCCTCATTTTCATCAGCATCATCATCATCACCGTCATCATCATACTCAGCAGCATCGTCATGAGCGTCATCATCATCGTCATCGTATTCACCATCGTCAATCATCATCACCAGCTTGGGCATCGTCGTCATCGTCGTCAGCAGCATGATCATCACAAACACCAGCTTCATCATCAGCAGCATCGTCATTATTCGCATCATCATCGTCGTCGTCACCAGCATCATCACACGCATCTTTATAAGCACCACCATCATATCATCATGCCATCAGCATCATCATCATCAGCATCATCATCCTTATTAGCATCATCACCAGTGTCATCATCATCAGCAGCAGCATCGTTGTCATCATCGTCATCGTGATCGCCACGGGCATCGGCATCGGCACCAGCATCAGCATCACCCGTCCTCACCATTATCACCATCAGCAGCAACACCACTATCACCACCAACACCACCATCATCAACATCAGCATCGTCATTATCATCATCATCGTCCTCATCAGCATCGTCTTCGTCATCACCAGCATAAGCGGAATAAGCATCATCGTCACCACCAGCAACAACATCATCACCATCAGCATCAGCATCAGCATCATCATAATCAGAATCGCATTCATTATTCCCGCCATCCCTCCCTCGTCCGCATGCTCATTCCTTCCTCATCCACATCCGCACACCCCCAACTACCAACCCCACACCACCTCATTTTCCGTCGGTTTCATAACCATGTTCACCGATGTCGCCGCCACGTGTCATCATCATCCCCTCCGTGCTAAGCTTCGTCTTCCATTCATGCGCCTTCCCCTTCCTCCTCCTCTTCTTCATCCTCCGCCTTACCCTGCTCAGCATCATCATTCCTTGTTCGCCGTCTCTTCCCCCATTCTTCTCATATTAATCCACCTCCTGCTCCTCCTCACTATCATGGTCTTTATCACACCGCCTTCGTCCAAGTCATCATCAGCATCACGTCGTCCTCCACTGTCGCCTCTTCTCAATCATCCATCTCATTCCACCTCCCTTCACCATGTTCATCGTCGCCATCCGATTCATCATCACCCACAACATCACGATCGTCCTCACAATCGTTCCTATTCGTCCTTCTCGTCCTTGTTGTCATAATCATCATCACCAGCAGCATCATCACAAGCATCCGCATTATCAACATAATCTGTTGTTATCCTTGAATTCCGCAGTATCCCTCCTCCCTCCTCTCCCTCATTCATCCTCCCTCCTCCCTTCATCATATCCATCGTCGCCATTCGCATTATCACCATCACCTCTCCTCCTCATCCTCGCCGTTACCGTCCCTTCTCACAGTATTCCTTATCATTATCCTCATCATCATGTAACCTGTCTGCACAATACCCTCTTGTCCATCCTCCCCCATCGCTTCGTGAACTGCATCGTTGCCATCATCCTCACCCACACCACCCGTTCCCTTCATCCTCGTCGACCGCATTCTTCCTTTTCTTGCTTCTACTCTCTTCCTGCTGCACCCTGCCTCCTCATCATCCCCCCCCCTCCCCCTCCTCCCTGAAACACGGGCACTCTGCTCGGCACGCGCTTGGCGTGCCGAGCAGGCGAGGCACGCGCCTGGCGAGGCACGCGTTTCGCAAGCCGAGCAGGCGCTCCTCATCATCCCCGCCCTCCCTCTCCGCCTTGAATCACGGGCACTCTGGTCGGCACGCGCTCGGCGCACCTCGTTCTGGCGCAGCCGAGCAGCCAAGCTGTCCACCCCGTGCGCGATGGAACAAAAAAAACAAGAGAGCCACAAGCATAAATTTATGACGTTCCCCGCGGATTTCTTGGATCTGCGCTGGGCCCTCCCCTGGCGGCGCCTCCAGCGCCGCCCCTGGCGCGCTCCGCGCGCCAGGGAGTGGATCCAGCGCGGATCTAAGACGTCCGCGCGGACCCCCGAGCTTTTATGTTTATGTCATTCTTCGTTCCCCTATTCATTGGTTTGAAAGATTTTTAGGGTTCTCCCCTTTCGGGTTTTCCAATTTCCAAAATCTGGGGCCGCATCCTGGTCCCAGGACCGTCCAAGAGCGTCCCGGGACGAAACACCAGTCTGGGGAAGCGGGCGAGATCTCCAGGTGCTCGACACTCGAACGAAAACATTCGTTGAAAGTCTGGGCCTCCTTCTACCAGTCTCCTTCTACTTCCGCCTTCCTCCTCGCCTCTTTTGCCCCTTCCTCGCTCTTTGGCTCTTCCTTGTCGTCTGCCCATCTCTCTCTCGATCTCTCTCGCTCTCCTCCCTCCCCGTCTCCCACTCCCTCTCTCTGTGTACAGGGGCCAGGGGCCCCTGGGCCGAAACCCGTGGACTAGGGCTTCCCGCGCACACTTCGGGAGCCCCGAGTCGATGCCGAGGGCGCTCAGACAGCCGTCGAGACGGTCCACGACGACGCCGACGACGACGCCGACGACGACGACGACGCTGACGCCCACGACGACGCCGACGCCGACGCTGACGCCGATGTCGTCGCCCACGACGCCGACGACGAAGACGACGCCGACGAGGACGCCGACGAGGACGACGACGTCGACGACGACGACGCCAACGACGACGACGACGACGCCGACGACGACGACAACGACAACGACGACGCCAACGCCGACGACGACGCCCACGCCCACGCCCACGCCGATGCCGACGACGACGATGCCGACGAGGACGACGACGACGCCGACGCCGACGCCGTCGCCGAAGACGACGACGACGCCGACGAAGACGCCGACGACGACGCCGACGACAACGACGACGACGACGCCCACGCCAACGATGATGACGACACTGACGCTGACTCCGACGCCGACGACGACGACGACGCCGATGACGAGGACGCCGACGATGACGACGCCGACGACGACGCCGACGACGACGCTGACGACGACGCCGACACCGACGCCGACGCCGACGCCGTCGCCGTCACCGACGACGACGGGATTGTGGTAGTTTCGGTGCTAATTAAATCCTCAAGTTGGGCATGCCTTGTTGCCGAAGGCTGCC